CGGTGTTGAGATGCAGTTGCTAATGTTGTTTTGTTTATTCCTAGGTCCGCCTACCCTGCACGTCTGGATAGTCGGGCATAGCATTGTCCACTGGGCCAGCAAGAGGGGGAGGAGTCTGGATTCAGACGCAGGCTCGGGCTCCCCAACCACATGAGCGTCTCCTGGGTGTCCAGACGAGGAATGCATTGGGATGAGCTTCTCCCAATGGTGCAGAACAAGGTGTCTGCGGAAGGCACGCCTGTGGCGATGGTGGTGCAGCTGGGCAAGAATGATTTGCCGGAAGCTCCCAGCTTGAGCCTGCAGACCCGCATGCAGGAGGACTTGGAGGAGTTGAAGGCAGCTCTTCCTGGACTCAAAATCTTTTGGTTGCAGCTGTTGCAGTGACAGTTGTGGCGTGGTATCCAATGCCCAGCTGCCACCGAGATGGCCAGGAGGTGCGTGCATAGTGCAGTGGCCAAGAAGGTTCTGGCCTTGGGTGAGATGGTGATCCATCACCCGGGCATTACCTCTCGTGATGCGTCCCTTTACAGGCTTGATGGGGTTCATCTGTCTGTGATTGGTTTATGTGATTGATTTATGGCTGACCTCTGTGTCAGCGGGATTAAGGGATTGGTTACAGGTCTGAGAGGCTGCTGGCAAGCGCGGGGCTTGTGTGGTGGATAGGCTCTGGTTCAGGTGATAGGGGTGGGAGAATGCTCTCGCCATCCCTATGTGAAGGGTATTCTGTTAAAGGAATCCAGAGATTTGATGGTTTGGTCAACCCCTGTGATGGGGTTGTGCCTATGCCTGAGTCCAGGGGGGCATTTGGGTGGCGGAGTTAGCCCATGTCTGGCTTTCCGCTTATCCAGGTGTTCACCCTTGGCTGGCCTATGCTGGAACCTTGGGTCAGTGCTACCTGCAAGGCAGGGAGCTAGTCGAATTAGAGCCTATGCAACCACTCACTTGCTGTAATCAATAAAGTTGTGGCCTAAATTCTGCCAAAAAACCAAACCAAAATTTGTGTCTTGTGTGAATTTATTTAGGGGGAAGGTTTCTGGGTCTGAGCGCTCAAATCGGGTCCTCCTTTAAGAGGACACATATTGTGGTGAGACCTGGAAACCGACACCCTGTGTTGTGGGTGGGTACGATTGGTCAGCCACAACACCCAATTGGTAGGTCCCTCAAAGCTGGGTGCAATCTGGCCAATGGGAGGCAGTCCAAATGGTTCGAGGGACCTATTTATGCCCATGCATGTGACCCAGAACTTCTTCTTTCGGTGTGTGCATTCGGAACACCCACCCACCTCTCCCTATATTTAGGACTGTGTGCTTGACCTTGCTATGCCGTCGTCTGTCATCTGTCGTTGGGACAGGGGCACAGCAGGAATTTTCCCCACTTGGCTGATTGGCTGTTGCCATTTGGGTTTCGCCTGCCGCATAGCAAATCATCACAACTTGTAAGGCTGCAGATAGGCTCTCATTCAGGTGATAGGGATGGGAGAACGCTCTTGCCATCCCTATGTGAAGGGTATTCCGTTAAAGGAATCCAGGGACTCGATGGTTTGGTCAACCCCTGAGAGGGGGTTGTACCTGTGCCTGAGTCCAGGGGGACATTTGGGTGGCGGAGATAGCCTGTTCCCGGCTTTCCGCTTATCCAGGTGTTCACCCTTGGCTGACCTATGCTGGAACCCTGGGTCAGTGCTACCTGCATGGCAGGGAGCTAGTCGAACCAGGGCCTATGCAACCAGTCACTTTCTGTAATCAATAACGTTGTGGCCTAAATTCTGCCAAAAACCAAACCCAAAATTTCAGTCAAGTGTGAATTTATTTAGGGGGGAGGTTTCTGGGTCTGAACACGCAAAACACAGGCAGTATATCTTAGCTTCCAAATTGTTTCTAAATTATTTGTATAAAACACAAAGATGGCTTGCTTGAGCCATGCGGTCTAAGCTTGGAGCATACAGCTTAGACCTCCTTAGTGGTAGGGGTCATATGGTGCAAAATGATGGAAAGTGGGATAACAAAGAGCTTGATAGCCCTTCCTCTCAAGCTTGGGGAAGTGATCTAGCTAAGCCTGGAAGAACAGTTTACGCTATAGTTTCACCCGCTTCATGAATTGAATCGAGTTAAGTATGTTGGTTATCTGAAACGGGATCTCTCACACCTTCTTCATAGGGGAGTTGCTCCATCTTGTTTTTCATTTTTGTTGCCCTTTTCTGAACCTTCTTGAACTCTACAATCTCTTTTTCAAGCTGAGGGGATCAGAACTATAAGCAGTACTGCATGTGTGGTCACACCATAGATTTGTATTATATCAGCAGTTTTATTTTAAATTCCTTTCCTAATGATCCCTAGCATGGAATCTGCCTTTTTTACACTGGACTAGCACCTTCATCAAACTATCTACCATGACTCCAAGGTTGTGTTCCTGCTCTCTCACTGCCAGTTCAGACCCCATGAGCAGATATGTGAAATTAAGACCACCATCCCCCATGCATCAATTTTCAAGGGTTTACACTGAATTGCATTTCTGGCAGAGCCTGCTCCCTTTTGGCATTGCTGGCCTTTGCATGAAGCAGAGTGGGAGAATCTGCTGTGGATGCTGGATCTGGACTGCCTGGGAGGGGTAGCAGATCTGCCCACTGCAGCCTGTGCTGTCACTGCCTCCTTCTCCATTCGTCTGCTTTCCTCCTCCTCTGTGACACCCTTTGCCCCCCACCCACTCCCCACCCTCAGCCACCTCTCTCATTGCTGTGTCTCCCTCTCTCAGAGGGGAAGGGGGCGACTGCATGCCTGTGGCACCCATAGAGAAACACACTGGTCCCCCCTTTCTTCCTAGGCACAGTATTGTTTGGTTCATAAATGCTAAAAAGGAGAAAAGTATTTTTTTCCACTTTTGAAATGTTGGTCAGGTCACATTTCAGCACCAACAGCTTTGTGGCAGAGGTAGGAAGTTTCCTTCCTTTTATATTCAGGGTTTTTGTACTTGTGTTCTTATACAGAAAGCCCTTTCTGTACTGTGTATCATGAAAAGGCATGAATCTGCATGTCTTCTGGAGAAAGTTGCTTAAAACCAGAGTATACCTAGGAAGCTGCACAGGCCGGCAGCAGCTCTCCAAGACTTCAGACAGTGTCTTTTCCCCCCTACCCTTCCTGGAGATGCCACTGGGAATTGCTCCACCACTGAGCTTCAGGCCTTCTCCTAAACTTGGAGGTTTGCATTTTCTAATGTACTGTGCACAGTAAAGGAGCCATAATGAATCCAAATAGACAACACTAGACCATGCCAGTTTCTCTTCTGCAGAGGTTCCTTGGAACTTTGTACATATATTTCTAGCTTTGGATAAGGCTCCTGGTGTCCTTGGCATCGTGATTAGAGCGGCAGTAAACACTGCCATTCCATCTAAACAAAGGGGGGGAGCTCATCTTATGTTGAAGTTCACCACATAGGAGATGGTTCTCCCTCCGCCCCAATAGATTATGGTAATTCATAATCTACGTTTTGTGTGGGTCCGCCCACACAGTGAAACTAATTGGAAGTTTCAGTGGAAAGGTCCAACCCTTGGTCCCTTTACTTTTGGGAGGCGTGAGTGTTGTGGTCATGCGGCTGGTTTATTCCTTGCTTGCTTGCTGATATCTGCCTCGCTTTGTCTGGCTCGCTACGAGGTTTGGATCACAGACTTGAGATAGGTACCAATGGTTTTTTAAAATTTATGTGCTATGCTAGGGACTTAGATTTATTTCCCGGTTAGATGGGTTTGTGGCAGGGGTGCAGGGGTGGGCACATGGGAGTTAATTATTAATTTTGGTTCATTGCTTTGACAATGCTACTTATGAGTGCATGTGCAAATAACATTCAATTGCTAATAATTGTGTGTGTGTGTGTGTGTGTGTGTGTGTGTGTACAGTATCAATTTCTATATATATTATTTTCTATGAAAATTGTATATTGGTCATTATGTTTCTTATATCCATAGAGTGGTTTGTTTCTGGATGGTTTGGCTTTTTTAAAAAAAAAATTGGTGCAAGCTGTGATGGTGGAAACTGTTTCACTGTGTTGCTACTGAGCAAAATTAAACCTAGATGGGGGATAATTTTTTATGGTGCAAGCTGTGATGGTGGAAACTGTTTCACTGTGTTCCTATTGAGTAAAATCAAACCTTGCTGGGGGATTTTTTTATGGTGCAAGCTGTAATGGTGCAAGCGGTTTCACTGTGTTGCTACTGAGCAAATTGAACCTTGAGGGGCAGTTGATGAATGTGGCTTTGGCCAAGATTTGGGGGACCATCATTGTGCCTTCATTGAATCAGTGGAGAGTGGAGGCTTTAGAAGCCCCTCTCCAGAGATGCTGATGTGTTAGAAATGCTAGAGGCCATTTCACTGAACTGCCATCCAATAGTTTGAAACATAGAAGGCTGCACATTTTTTCTGTTTGGGCTATTCTGCAGTGGTTTTGTGGTCTCCACAGGGAACAAACAGTTTCACTGTATTGCTGCTGAGCTGTTTCACTGTGTTGCTACTGAGCAAAATTGAACCTTGATGGGCAGTTGATGAATGTGGCTTTGGCCAAGATTTGGGGGCTATCATTGTGCCGTCATTGAATCAGTGGAGAGTGGAGGCTGTAGCAGCCCCTCTTTGCTTTGACAATGCTACTTATGAGTGCATGTGCAAATAACATTCAATTGCTAATAATTGTGTGTGTGTGTGTGTGTGTGTGTGTGTGTGTGTGTACAGTATCAATTTCTGTACATTCCATATTGGCCATTATGTTTCTTATATCCATAGAGTGGTTTGTTTCTGGATGGTTTTTTTTAAAAAAAATTGGTGCAAGCTGTGATGGTGGAAACTGTTTCACTATGTTGCTATTGAGTAAAATCAAAGCTTGCTGGCGGATTTTTTATGGTACAAGCTGTAATGGTGCAAGCGGTTTCATTGTGTGGCTACTGAGCAAAATTGAACCTTGAGGGGCAGTTGATGAATGTGGCTTTGGCCAAGATTTGGGGGACCATCATTGTGTCTTCATTGAATCAGTGGAGAGTGGAGGCTTTAGCAGCCCCTCTCCAGAGATGCTGATGTGTTGGAAATGCTAGAGGCCATTTCACTGAACTGCCATTCAGTAGTCTGAAACAGAGAAGGCTGCACATTTTTTCTGTTTGGGCTATTCTGCAGTGGTTTTGTGGTCTCCACAGGGGACAATTCTCGACACAATATTTCTGGCTCTGGGTCTCATTCTCACCTCTCCCCCATCTCTTCTAGCTTTAACCACTCGCAAAGCCTACTGTCTTGGGATTGCAGAGGTCATTCCTTTAAGGTCACCCCTTTAAGGATCTCTTCTACAAGTATGTGAAAGTGGTGCATGTGTTGTTGTAGTAGATCTGCCTAGGAAGGGAGGTTAGGTGAAGGTGCTGTTGGGGAGGTGTCTTGTTTTGTGGAGAGGTCAGGATGAGAGCAAGGAGTTTTGTAAGAAGGCGGCTGATGCTCAGGCTTCTTTGTAAGAGCCATGCGAGAGCAAATTAGTGGCCCTTCTAGTCCAGCAGTCTGCTCCCCTAGTGGCCAACCAGATATTTAGGGCAAAGTCCACAACAGCAACCATGATCCCCAACAACTGGTGCTATTGAAAGACATGCTGCGTTTCTTCCTGGGGAAAATATTTAGCTGCCAATGACCTTATTTGCCACAAATTTCTCTATTCTGTCCCATATGGCAGCCATCCCCTTATCTAGTGGCAGGGAGTTCCATTCTTCAGCAATGCAATGTTGTGTGGAAAAGTCCTTTCTCTGGTCTGCTTGTAATCTTCCACTCACCAGTTTCACTGTATGACCCCATTGGACATGACAAGAAGCCCCTCTCTCTCCAGTCTCTCCACTCCACATGCCATTTTATACACCACTAGCCTTAAAGTGCAGAATAAAGCCACAACACATTAAAGAAAGAAAAGAGAGACAAGCAGGAGAGAGGGAAGGAGGTGGGGGCTTGGCCAAAGTGAAGTGGAGATGTGAGGGAACGGGGGGATGGAGACGGGGAGCAGAGAGGGTCATCTGAAGGGGTCTTCTGAAGAGGCCTAAGAGTGGTGGCAAGAGGTAAGAAATTGATGCTTGAGATGTAAATAGATGGATGAACCTTCCTTCACATCCTTTTCTCCTCTTTCAGTTGCAGAAATGGATTTGGCTGCCATTGACCCAGTTCTGCAGGTTAGTATCAGTGGGAGCAGGAGTATAGACCAGGTACAAGACCCCTTGGCACAGAAGGTTACCTTGCCCAGCAGCAGAGGAAGCCGCTTGGGTGCCTGGGGCGGGGTGCCCAGGGGCAGGGTGAACTTCCCATAGGGGTGGGGCGAGGACAGCCTAGGGAAGTCCCTTCCTGATTAAAAGCCTGACTTTTTCCACTTTTAGAATCTTGGCAAGGATTATTTTTTCCTCTTCTGTATTCGCTACTCAAGCGAGTACATCTATCATATGAGCAACGATAGAGTGGTGTATCATAAAGAACCCACCTCCGCGGCTATTATGGTAAGTGAGGTTCAGTATGAGAAATCCAGTGGGGAGGTGGGCGGAAGGGATGGGGGTGAGGTTTGGGTAATGGTCTGTGAAAAGCAAGTTTCTTGGTATGGCAAAGAAGAAGAATTTGCAGGCATTTGGGACAGGCATTCCAACTGCAATTGAAGTCAACCCCTGAGTCTCGGGCTGGAGCAGCCCCCCTGAATTCCATGGGGAACTAACTTTGCTCTTCTGCTCTTTAAACTCTTCTTAGGACATCATGGAGAGATGGTACATGTTTCCGGTCCCCTCCAAAGTATTGAAAATGGGAATGGAGAACATCACCTGCCTGACGTATGTTGTTGGCACTGTGTGTGTGTGTATTTATTCACAGTGATTGGGAATTAGAAGTGGTGTGTGTGTGTGTGTGTGTGAGAGAGAGAGAGAGAGAGAGAGAGAGAGAGAGAGAGAGACCTGCTTGAGGAAAGGGCAGCCAGTGGCTGGCAATTTAGATTGAGTGAGAAGAATCAAAATGCAGGGAAATAGCAGTGACTGAACAAATGGGCCAAGAGTGCCATATTGAGCTTGACAACAAGTTTACAGGGTAGGTAGGTTGTGGCAATGGCAGCTTCTATCTCTAAAAAATAAAAGAAAAATCGCTGATGGCTGTTATGCTCCTAGGGCTAGATGTATCCCCCCCCCCCCAAAAAAATCTCATCTCTTCCTTGAAGGAAGCTGGAACTTGATGGGTCAATCAAGGATGGGGTTAGCTCCTCAGTGGGTCATGGAGACTTTGAATATACAGTCTCCAGAGGTCCCAAATCAGTGGGGGTGTGGCTCCCAACACCCCTGGAAACCAACCACTGGTCTTATCTTATTTCTTGCTTCCTCATGACAGCTTCCTGAAACCTGCATTTACGGCAAGTAAGAAATCGGCCATTGTCGGTGGGATGCTCTACCCGATTGCTAACACTTATGGACTGAGCGATGATGAAAAGGAGGTAACTTATTTGTAGCTTTGATCATTACTCTTGACTTCTATTGGTTCAATTTATCTCCTGAAAATTTTGCACCATCTTTCCATTCCTTACTATTTTTTTTAGTGAGAGAGTAAGCTTAGTTGCACAAATAATATTTTTGGTTTCACTGGTTTCCAGCTATTACACACAAGGATTTTTTAAACATCATCTCCATTCAGAAAGTGAATTTTGCCTCATTATTTGTCCATGAGTGAAAACTTAGTCTCATTTGAAGCTGGCCTTTGTCTCTACTCTGTCAGTTTGCTTCAGTATCACACTCCTTATTATCCAGTGCTAAAAATCTGTTATCTATCCCCCCCCCTCCATGTGTTTCCACATCATCTCCTCCCATGATTCTGTGAATCTATCTATGTGAAAATGGTTTTGACTGCCAGGAGCTTAAGAAGCAGTTTCATGGAATGGTCAGGCGCCTGCTGGCTGAGTCCCCAACCCTTGCAACCCTGTCATGCATCATGCAAGTAAGTGCGATGGTGGGACAAGGGTATTGATTCATTTCAGCAGAGCCTGCTGGCATAAAAGCTTGATCAGGCAGCATCACAAACCCAGAACATGGGTGTCCCCTGACACGCTGGGGAAGGGCAGGCCACTCAGACAGGGGGCCACCCTTGTCAAGGCCCTTTCTTCAGTCTCCACCTGGGTGCAGCAGCCAGGGGGGGCCAAAGCAAATTTGGGGCTTGGTGACTTGGGAGAAAGCCTTTTTTGAGCTGTCTGGAACATTGAACAAAGGATCTCCCTCAGATAGTGGGGAGGACTCCTTGGTGGAGATGGTAGCTTGCCTCTCTAGCCGAAACCAGCCCCCTGATACTATGGTGCTTTTTCCTCCCACAGCCGCTGACCTTTTACTTCAATGCAGAAGATGAGCAGGAAAGACAGCTGGCTATCAGCACCATCCGTGATTTGCTGACATATGCATTAAAATTCAACAACATGCCTGTAAGTATCTGTTTTATGGTCCAGAGAGGTTTCTCAAAGCGGCTTAAAAAAGACTGTCTCAAGAAAAGTGATATCCAAGCTTGGTATCAAGCAGAGAGGGAACATGATCCACCAGTGTGTCCAGGATTATTCAGGTGGATTTTTTTGGCCTCTTCTTTGGTGCTGCCCTTTGGCCTCCACCTACTAGGCAGCAGAGCCCACAGAGGTTCTTGGAGCCACCCGAGTGGGGTTCAGCAGCTGCTTTGGAGTTCTCTTGTATTTGCTTTTTGGGTTAAATAAAGGACCTGATTAAGGCATTATTATTATTTTTTTTGTCTCTACAGGGGATAGCAATAAATGGAATTCTTACGCCAGCGGTGTCCGAGTTGTTCAATACCATCAACGAAGGCAAGTTGTCCATTCTGCAAGCACAGAACAAACCCACAGGGCTCACTCTCCACCCCAAAGCCATCCTTGGCAGCCTAACTGGGGTCTGAGGAGGGCTCACTTCTTTGCTGTAACACACCTGCCTCAGGTTGAAATCCCAGCCCTGCATTAAAGCCCCCAAGCAAGGTGGAGAGTGAACAGCTGTTCCCAGATGCTATGGGGATGCCCAATGGTCTGGCAATGGGGGTGGTGATGTTGGGGGTGGGGGCAGCTCCACTGGGCTTTGCCAGGGCATGGGAGGGGGCATTAGCTGCCTAAGGATGCCCAGTGATGAGTCTGGGCCTGGTTGTAAGGAAGACTCACTTCTCTTATCTTCTTTTCCATCTAGCGGACGTCCTGATTGAACATGTGGATGTGTTCCCACCAATGCCCCAATTCCCATGAATCCTCTTCCCAAACCAGAGTGATGTGTGTGGTCAGTGATGAAGGAGGAATCATTATTTGGTGTTATCTGAGGGAATTTGCCATTATCTGAGTGCATTTGTCATGATCTGAGGACATTTGTCATTATCTGAGGGCATTTGCCATTATCTGAAGGCATTTGCCATTATCTGAGGGCACTTACCATTATCTGAGGGCACTTGCCATGATCTGAGGGCATTTGCCATGATCTGAGGGCATTTATCATGATCTGAGGGCATTTGCTATTATCTGAAGGCATTTGCCATTATCTGAGGGCACTTACTATTATCTGAGGGCATTTGCCATTATCTGAGGGTATTCCCCACTTTAAATAAAAATTGAATTTTGAGCAATTCTGAGCTTACATTTGTCTTTGTGATTTCTGTTCCATCACTTTACTTGCACCCCTGTGCTGTGGCTTAGAGGTTTCTTTCTGGGGTGGGGGGAGGAAAGAGACACTGCTGGCAACTTCTGAGGGCGATTTGGATCAAGTAAAAGGTTTGGGAGGGAAAGGTTAAAGCCCCCGACCACCACTGAAGCTGCCTCCCTAGTTGCTGCTTTGACTTTTTATAAAAAAGAAAGCATGGAGTATCCTGATCTTCATCATGTGTGCCTACTTGAATAAGAGATTGTCTTTCCTCTCCGTATGAGCAGCAGAACACTGTTCCACAGTGATGCCACCTGGACAGGAGTTGGGGAAGCAGAACAGTCAGGAGGGCAGGTGGCAGAGCATGTTGCGAAGCTTTGATGGGAAGAATCTGCCCTTTTTAAAGTCAGCAGGTGCAGACTTCCTCATCAGTACTTCTCTGGACTTGGGGGGAAAAGATGCAGCCATGAAAAGCTGCATAACAGGCAGGAGTATAGCAGGTGAAGGGTTTTTCTTAAGAGGAGTGGTGAGAAGGCCTGGCCTGTTACGTGGCCCTGAAGGTACAACAGCCCTGCCAAGGAAATGATGTATGGTACATGACTTCCCAAAGTGTGTGTGAGAGAGAGATGGGGAGATAGAAACGAAGGGAGGGAGGAAGGAATGATCCATGTTCTCATGCAGCTGCATTGTTCTACACTTTCTGGGTGTCTCCTCTGTGCTCTCAGAATGTGCTCTGTTGCCACCTGGCCAGGTCTCATGCCATACTAGGATGGAGATCCATGGGCGAGGGGTGGAGAGCTGTGTTTGAGTTTCAGCCGATACTGGAAGCAGGAGAGACAGAGGCATGTCTGGATTTGTGATGGACCCCAAGGCTGTGGCCTTAGGCTTTTCTGGGAACCAAAAGTGGGGGCAATATCTGCTAGAGTCTTAATCTTGTGAGTCCCACTCAGGTTGTATTTCTGTGTAAATAAAACCTAAAGACTTCAAGATCGTCATTGACGCTCCTTCCAAGGAGACTGAACTGGAATGCTCAGAGATTTGGGTAGGTGCAACAATATGTTTCGGGGGCTTCTAGGGTTCCCATTGATTCACTGCACCCTGCGTGGCTGTTGCTCATAACCACAGAGGCATTTTTAACTCGCCCTTCACAACTCACGGGAGGGATGCGGGTGGCGCTGAGGGTTAAACCACAGAGCCTAGGGCTTGCCGATCGTATGGTCGGCGGTTCGAATCCCCGCGGCGGGGTGAGCTCCCGTCTTCGGTCCCAGCTCCTGTCCACCTAGCAGTTCGAAAGCACCCTTAAGTGCAAGTAGATAAATAGGTACCGCTTTATAGCGGGAAGGTAAACGGCGTTTCCGTGTGCTGCGCTGGTGCTGGCTCGCCGGAGCAGCTTCGTCACGCTGGCCACGTGACCTGGAAGTGTCTCCGGACAGCACTGGCCCCCAGCCTCTTAAGTGAGATGGGTGCACAACCCTAGAGTTGGACACGACTGGCCCGTACGGGCAGGGGTACCTTTACCTTTACCACAACTCACAGTAGAACTTCCCCAAGTCACGTCTCAAAGGCCTGCCTTTCTCTTGTGTGTAGAAGACACATGCAACATTTACAGCGGCACCTACACATATCATGCAATGTCTCCATTGGCCCCAAGCCAGTATGATCCCTCTCTCAACACTGTGAAGTAAAAAAAGAAAATAGGCACCAGCACCTTGCCTCTTTCTCAGCAGCTGAGCAAGTTTGGACCACAACTGTTGGAGATGTCTGCACTAGAGGCCAAATTTCCGCACTAATCACAGCTCAGCCCAGTTTAGCTGTTGAGAGAAAGGCAAAACGACATGTTCAAGTTAACTCAGACTTAATTCACGCTAGTTGTGATACAGAAATACAACTGCTATATATGGGGAGAGCCAAAATGATGGGTTGGGTGCCATCTGTACATAATGGCTCCCGCAGTGTTTTCCATTACATTGCACTTTCTTCCGGAGGAACAGGACGATGCGCAACTGAGTAGCAATCATAACAAGCACACATTGCAAAATATCTATTGAGAAGAAAACCACATTTCTGCTGACTGGAGGGGTGATTTGCACTTCATTTTGACACATACAAATGGCCGCTTTCTAAACAATGTCACAAAAAGTTATACGACATGCATTTTCACTCCAAATATTGTAAAGCAAGAGACCAGACAGATGGACAGGTATGGCATTACTTCATCGGAGGCATGCCAAGTTTGGCTATGGGCCTTTGGAAAGCAAATGTTTCAGGAGTCCTTAGGGGTTAAAAAGCCTTAAATTAAGGGAGGCCCCGAAACAAAAAGATCTAGCAATGGTTGGTCTTTGTTTTAACTCTGGAAGAGGCTGCTGGGCCAGGAAAATGGCTACTCTTGATTAATTGGCCTGTCTCTTTCATCTGCTTCAAACAGTTTAAAAGGAACCCGGGCAAATGCAGAGATGTTTACAAAGAGCAGGCCGGGAGGCATGGGGAAAGGGGTTTTTCAGGGCATAGATTTATAAGGCCTTTCTGTGGGAATTAAGTAAGCAAATATGTCAAAGCTGTGAAAACTGCCACACCAGGTGCCCTGCACTGCAGTAGGAGCTCCAACATGATGAGGCAAAGCGTGTGGGTGAAGAGACACGAAAGGGGTCTTCAGGGCACCTTGGCTGCTCTGCAAACACAGGATTTCTCCTGTGGGAAAATCAGCCCTGCAGACTGGCAAAGTGGTTCAGCTTTCCTGGGGAAATGTCAGCTATGGAGAGCACATAATGGCTGCCACCTGTTAAAAGTCAGTGCTTCTACATCTTCTATCCAATTTCAAAATACTTTGACATCACAAACGTGTGTCTGAGATGCAGGCTTCACTCCTGGTGATGCCCTTCCGTCAGTTCCTTTAAGTTTCAGCTTTGCAACCATATTCCCCCCGGAACCCAAAGGCTTTTGTTTCCCAGAAGCTGCACGGGAAAGCTCACCTGTCCCGGACACGGAAAGGATTGACAGATTGGAGTGTCTGAGAGTGAGGGATAGATGGCTCTGTCAATTTCAGTTTCTCTTGGTTTTGTTTCTTTTGTTCTGTTTTCTCCAGGTTTCTGCAGCAATTTGCAATTTATTTATTTGTTTAAAGTCCACTTGAAAATCTGTGTGTGAATTTTGAAGCACTTTAAACATAATATGTGCTCTTTCATATGCAATTTTGGCCTATATAATTCATTTTTGTTTCTTATTTCCACTAATACACATTTTGTGGATAATTCCTGCTAGTATGTACATTCCTGCTAGTATGTACAAATGAACGAATTCCTATGCCTCACAAATAACCCAGAGATGCATTTTAAATAAAAGCACACATTCTACTCATGTAAAAACACGCTGATTCCCGGACCATCCACGGGCTGGACTGAGAAGGCGATTGGGCTGGATCTGGCCCCCGGGCCTTAGTTTGCCTACCCGTGATCTATCACTTCCTCAGGGAGTCTGCTCCTCTGTCAAAACATCAGACAGTTCTTCCAAACGTTCAGTCAGAATCTGCTTTCTTGTAACTTGAATCCCTTGGTCCAGGTCCTACCCTCCAAAGCAAGCTTGCTCCATATGAAAAATTGCAGTTTGTGTACATGCTTGGAAGCTTGGATTGATTCTCATTCAAATGTTGCTGGACAGGCTTACCACCCCCACCCCCATGTATGTCCCTGCGTGTGAAATCTGAGCAAGGGGGATTCCAGACATCATTATCATCATCATCATCATCATCATCATTTATTATTTATTATCTGGATGGGTTTCCCCAGCCACTGTGGGTGGCTTCCAACAGAATATTAAAATACAATAGTCTATTAAACATTAAAAGCTTCCCTAAACAGGGCTGCCTTCAGATGTCTTCTAAAATTTGGTATGTATTTTTCTCTTTGACATCTGGTGGGAGGGCATTCCACAGGGCAGGTGCCACTACCGAGAAGGTCCTCTGCCTGGTTCCCTGTAACTTGGCTTCTCACAGCGAGGGAACTGCCAGAAGGCCCTCGGCACTGGACCTCAGTGTACGGGCAGAATGATGGAGGTGGAGACGCTCCTTCAGGTATACTGGACCAAGGCCATTTAGGGCTTTAAAGGTCAGCACCAATACTTTGAACTGTGCTTGGAAATGTACTGGGAGCCAGTGTAGGTCTTTCAAGACCGGTGTTATGTGGTCTCGGCGGCCGCCCCCAGTCACCAGTCTAGCTGCTGCATTCTGAATTAGTTGTAGTTTCCAGGTCACCTTCAAAGGTAGCCCCACATAGAGCGCATTGCAGTAGTCTAAGCGAGACTAGAGCATGCACCACTCTAGCGAGACAAACTGCGGGCAGGTAGTGTTGCAGCCTGTGTACCGATTGGAAGGGATCCAAATGGTCCGTACTGGGAGCCAATGTAGGTCTTTCAAGACCGGTGTTATGTGGTCTCAGCGGCCACCCCCAGTCAGCAGTCTAGCTGCCGCATTCTGGATTAGTTGTAGTTTCCGAGTCACCTTTAAAGGTAGCCCCTTCGTAGAGCGCATTGCAGTAGTCCAAGCGGGAGATAACTAGAGCATGCACCACTCTGGCGAGACAGTCCATGGGCAGGTAGGGTCTCAGCCTGCGTACCAGGTGGAGTTGGTAGACAGCTGCCCTGGATACAGAATTGACCTGCGCCTCCATGGACAGCTGTGAGTCCAAAATGACTCCCAGGCTGTGCACCTGGTCCTTCAGGGGCAGAGTTACCCCATTCAGGACCAGGGAGTCCTCCACACCTGCCTGCCTCCTGTCCCCCCAAAACAGTACTTCTGTCTTGTCAGGATTCAACCTCAATCCGTTAGCCACCATCCATCCTCCAACCGCCTCCAGACACTCACAAAGGACCTACACCGCCATCACTGGTTCTGATTTAAAAGAGAGGTAGAGCTGGGTGTCATCCGCATACTGATGAACACCCAGCCCAAACCCCCT